TGCCCCTGCGTTGAAAGGGATGAAAAGGTGCCGAAACTCTTAGTTACAGAGGTTGACACACACACACACACACCTCCCGTGCAGGGAGGCAGTTAGAGTTGGCCGATGCCTGCAGAATGCGGATGGAGGCATAAAATTCCGGCATGCATTGATTCGCAAACCATGCCAAAACACCTAAGAGAGCTCGAAACTAGCGATGCTCACGTTCATCACAAGGTGGCTCTCCCGTGGCCGCGTGGCCGTCCAGTGTTTCTCAACTGGGCCCTTCGAAGGTTTTCTCAACCCTCCATGCCACTCAAAACAACAACAGAAGCCATCTTCGGGCCAGCTCTTCCTGATCGACAAACACAAGGATCCACAGGGCTTGCAACTAAGCCCAACTCCTTCAAGTATGTGTGAGCAATGGCGTTCCACTGGCAAGGTGCACGGAAGTCACCGAAAGTTGGCTTGGTTGCCTTCGGCACTGGATGTGGTAGAAACCCCATCCTGCGTTCAAGACGACGACGCGTGTCAGCAGAGAGCTGGATGTAGAATCTTGGTGTTTTCATCGTTGGAATCCGCTTGCATGAACGCACTCTTGTCAGCGGTCCAGACTTTCCACTTTCAGCATTCTTTCAGCGCGCGGCCCAAACATAGATGAGACTGCGACTGGCCACACTCAAACTCGGACTTTAAGGGTTGCAAGCACGTCTCGATGACGAAATCCCTGGATGATGACTCTGTGGCTTGCCGGCCGGTTTTGGTGGGCCTCTATTTTTGCAGGAAACTCGCCGGCACCAACTCACTGTCTCTCACTTCTTGTACGCCCACCCAGGCATCATTCCCGAACCAAACATTGAGAGCGTGATCCTTGGCCTCATCAAATTGAGGTCGTTCTTCAGTCGTGAATATCTTATCACTGAATGATATGAATGCAGCCGCAACTAGTCCTTCATTTTCTTCATTCACTTCATGTTAGGCTAGGCGATCATATTGTTGACTGAAGATGGGGTCATCGAAATGCACGGGCGCGAACCTTGAGGTATTATAGGGCTCTAGGATAGTCCAGCGAATTTCCTCTATAGACCATACAAACCTGGGGGTGATTTTAGTGCATTTTATAGAGGTTTTAGGGCAATATGAACCCTGGGTGCATGGATTCTATAGAGGCAAGGATTTTTGACGATGGCTCTTGTACTCGAAGTATGTAACCCCGGGTAGTTTGATTATATATAGAGACATTTTTTAAATACCTAGAGGTAGAAATGGCTTCATTTTATAGAGAAACCTGGATGGATGTGAGCAGCGTCAAAAATATCCAACAATCAGGTTAAGCACACTTGTAAGCTCCAACTTGCCAGCGGAAACCACAACTGCAGTCGTGGACCGGTGCGTAAGTGTATGGCAGAATTTACCATCGCTGAAGCTTTGCGGATGTGCATGGATGTGCGCATGTTATCTTCCTGAACCTTGTTGACAATAACAAATGCCTCTGTACTTTTTAAGGGGGTGTGTCTAGCCTAGGGACACTTTTGAAAAATACGTCCATGTGAGAACCCTGGGGTGTCACTAAAGAATGAGGCCACCTACTGTGTGTTATCAACGATATCGACCTAATATTTCCATTTGGGTGCGTGAATCTATAGAGGACCATATTTGCTGGTGATTTTATAGTGGTCCAAATTTTAAGCATGGGGTGTGTGATTCTATAGTCTACAGCCCGCGTTTTCTACCTTGGGTGTCCAGATTTTACAGTGCCAGAACCCTGGGGTTACCGTTGAATATATATAACATGACCACCCTTCGGTTTCAGGTGGAGCTCACAGGGGTATTTTGTTTTAGTGGCTCAGCCCTGCAAAAGCCTGTTGCGTTTCATCATGATGCGGTGGACTTCGAGACCTCGGTCGTTCTGCTTTTCCTTCAGCTGCTGCCGCTAACTGTGGTTCGGCCATGTGCTCTGCAGCGTGTTGCTGCAGCAGCCGTCCTGTTTGTGGCTGCGGCATCAAGACCGGGCTCAGACGGAGTGTAGTCCTCAACATCACCTGGGTCCAGACTGAAACGATTGTTGTGCTGCCTGTGGTGGCTCAAGTTGTGAAGGTTTTGAAAGCTCAAGTGCACAATTTTCCTCACGGGTTGCGGGGGCCAAAAAACTCGGCGGCGCATTGCCACAGAAGCGTTGGGTGTTTGACTTCATGTCGCAGGGTTGACGTTCGTGATGGAGACGTTTTTTGTGAATCTGTGAGTTGGCGGTTTTGCTTGGTGACGCCAGTCACCATGGCTAGTGTTTGCCCACCCTCGCAGGAGAACTTGTACAGGCCGGCGTGCTTTGGGAGCATGACAACTTTGGTGTGTGTTGGACGGCGCTGGCACGCTGCCTCCAGCCACCACTATCCATGGCCCAGGCTGTGGCAGAGCAAAGCCACACACATGAAAGAACGCCTCACAGAGATATGGCGTTTCCACCCGAACTGTTGAACCACTGGCCAAGCCTCGGTAGCCTCCATTGATCACAGGCCTTCACCATTGGCTCGTGAAGGGTTCGTTCTCCAAGGTGAAAGGGGAACTGGAATAGGGCGGGGGTTCGCTTGCGCGTCGCGTTTTGGATCGCTTGTGCGTTGGGTTTTCCTTGAGCAACACGCAATGTGCGGCCACTAAAGGGTAAACGACTAAACTAAACTCAAATATGCCCGAGCCTTAATGGTATCCAACCGTAAAAACTCACCAGTGCGGAAAACGGCGCGCTTAAGAACCGTACGGGTTTCCAACCGTGTTTTGACGGCGCACATCTCCCTCAGACATACCAGCCGCGCAGCCAAACTTTAATAAACTTTACCTTACTCCGGGGCCGAGTTTGCTTGCCCAATGCGACACAGCTCGTCCAGCACCTGCCACTTTTCATTGCTGCGCGCGAAGCTGGGGTTCATGCGAATTTCCTGCAGCTTGGGCACGCAACGACGCCGCACAAACCAACAGGAAAGGGAACAATGGACGAGGTTCCCCGAAACTTTCCATTTTGGAAGGCGGAATGGGATGACAGCCGCGACATCATCGGTGGTCGCATCTTGGCCGCATTGGAAGGGAGGCCGTTGTTGGGAGCTGCCGATTTGGTCTCACACAAACAGCAACAATTCGAGGCGTGTGGGGGGTTTAGGCCTTGAACCACAAACACAAAACAAGGATGACGAAAAACGCACTGCTCACTCACCGTTGACCAGAAATGTATGGCAGACCCCTGAGACATGGCCATGTGGCAAATGGTCAGGTGTGCAACATGTTTGCCGTGGTATCATGGTGCTGTTGTTGTGCTGCCAACAACGGAACTTCAGCAAACCTGCCGGAAACATCAGTGAGTGGAACTGGATGGCTCGTTGTGGGACGCTGTCAATCTCAGTTCATGAATTGTTTTTGTGTGTTTTTGGGCAATTTTTTTTTTGCGGCTTCAGTGGCCAATGGCCTTCGAACACCCATTTTTACATTTAAAAACACGTCTTTCCATGCCCCGAAGGATGGCAGACATATCAAAAGGTAAATATACCAAACCAAACAAAATCCAGTGCTGAGGCCGCATTGATTGTGGCTGGCTGGTCGGCAGTCACTTTGTCGGCAGTGGCTTGTGCAGAGCACCCCGAGTTCATGCCCATCCCTGAGTTGTGCCAACATTGCTGGTGGACACGTTCAACTGCAAACGATGGAATCTGTTCTACCGGACCGAGGTTGGGGATGGACGACGAGGCGTGTGACATGACGATGCAAACTGCGAACTCAAGTGTTTCCTTTTTTCAGGTTTTGGCAGCGAAATCCCCACACCATTCCCAGTAGAGCTATGGCTAATCTTGCAAATGTGACCTGACGTTTGAAAGGGGAGGTACTCAGCCAATAAACCATTGGAATGTGAATCAACTGTTGGGAATCCTTGGCCCCCCTCGCCGTTATAAGTGATTTGAATGTCCCATGTTAGTCAAGGTGCCTTGGCTTCACGGAGCCTCCCGTGCGCCACTGTGGCAGGTCACGTTCCAACGAGTCCAGGAGGCCCAGGCAGTGGGTCGGAAGGGGTTCACGCACAGGTGGCCCACATTGAGCCCAACACCACAAAACACATGGCAAGGGGTCAAAACTGGGCAACCTTGGTTGAGCACGCGAAGTGAAAAGAATGGATTACGAAGAAGGCCAACTTACCCTGTTTTGGTGTCAGGACCCGTATTTCAACAATTTTCCACCCAACACGAAAGTTCAATCTTTCGCGAACGGCCCGGAAACAATCGAAAACATACCAACCAGTGCTGACCTACTGTATCACTGATTAGTTGAATTATTTTCATAAGACCAAATGAGCACAGACCTGAAGAACTGTCCTGATTAAGTGTTTGGACCGTTGGCGTCCTCGAAGTGCAGACAGTTGGCGTTGGGCTTTGCTGGTTGCTCCATGTTGCACCTGTGCCTCGGACCCAGGAGCTTCCGTTGGCGGAAGCCTTGTGGTCAGCGATGAACTTCGCAGATGCATCCGTCAGCGTGTGAACTCAGTGGTGATCTCTGACAGAATGGGACTGAAGGGCTGGTGGCTTCGGGATTTGGGGAGACTATTGTGTTTTATGCCGTAGCCTCAAGAAAACTCTGCAAACCTTCATGTGCCCAATTCAACGAATATGTTTTGTTTTTGGTTGGTGCAAGTCCATCCATGGTGTGGAAAAAACAATGCCAGCGAATGGCAGAACGCAAGAACATTGCATAAGCGGATGCCTCTTGCAACAGTGCATCCAGGCAGAACTGGCATGAAATGCACGAAATCGTTCAAATTTCAGTTGACCCCGCGTTTGACGGTTTGACCTGACCCCCTAATTAAGTGTCACTCCATTTGTGGGATGGGCCACCGTGTTTCGACCCCTCCCATCCGAAGCACCGGGCTCGCTGACAGGGCTCGAGAGGGCGACCCTCCCGTCCGACGCCACGACGGCCTGCTGTGGCGATGGTGACGGCCATGGTTTTCTCCGCGTGACAACCACGCTGGAGACGCCCGAGACGCCATGGAGGTCGTGGATGAGGCCTGCCGGTGGTGCTTTTTCGGTGAAGGGTTCTGTGGCAGTGGAAGGATTCGGATCTGGAGGTTTCTGTGGACTGTTGCTGTCGAAGGTGCTGCCCTTCTCAAGGGTCCTGGGGAAAGGTGTCATGGTGAGCAGGTCACAGGTTAGGCAGTGGGCAGAACTCTTTGGTATTCTTTAGGTTGCCTTGATAATAGAGATGAGTATGAATGTGACACTTTTACGGGAACACCCGTACGCCGCCCAAGGGTTGCTGACCAAAGAGCATCGCAGAAACCGAGAGGCGGCATTCGCATGTACTTTGACCAAGAAAAACTTTGTGATAGTCTAGTGATTGTCTTTAATTCGGCCATGAACCCATGAACCTTCAATGACGATGGAACATGCCGATCCATACGGTTGGGACATTCCTATGGATATGAATCCTTAACGATCTACCATGATCTGCCACTTAGAAATCCAAAGACGATATTTGGCACCGAAGCAGAGGAAACTCCAAAACAGCTTCCACAGCAACCTGCGGCGTCCAACCAGCGGGCTAACCTGCGGCCTCCATCGGTACTATTGGTATGGATTGAGGGGATAACCCCTCGTTCGTGTACAGTTCGAGTTCGATGGCTGTGGTTCACCCGGTTTCGGGGTTTTCCTTAGGTCGGATTGGGCTAAGGAGTCTAATACCTTAGTATTATGTTTATTCCTTCGTGTTATTTTATTCAATTTTATTCCCTATTCCAAATCCATCGGCCCCTGGTTCCTTCTTCCGTTCCGACTGGTTCTGGCTCCCGTCCCTCTTCCCAGGCGCGGAGCTTCGTGCAGGCAAAGATGCAGAGCCGCGTGGCGCTGCTCCGGGCGAAGACGCGGAGGCCGGTGGATTCGCGGAAGACGCACGACATGGTTCTTGTGGAACATGTGCAAGCATTTGATATAGAGTAATATTATTGGTGGTATATGACAACATTTTACAGCAAGGAAAATATAGTTGTATATCTATTGGAGGCTTGCCATTCAACAAGTTCGGGATGTTCACCAGCTCAGGGATTGAAACCTTCAAATCTGATAGGAGGAATGCCAGACACACCAGCGATCCAAGAGAAATAGGTATGAAGGGCTGCGTGGTATTGCGTGGTGCCATAAGTATCTGAGTATTTTTTTCTGCACTCAGATAATTTACGGCTGACCTCCAGCCATTGTTCTTGTTATTTGCTGTTTTTTTCTTTTTTCCACACGAGAGATGGTTCCATGTGTCGATGCCTGAACGGTGTTGGGTGAGCTATGCGCTTGCGATGCGGATACTCTCCTCCTGCAGGTTGCAGCAGATCAACGACGCGCCTGTACCGCCGGAGGTGGGCGTTTAAACACCAGAGCACTCCGACGTGATTGCTGGGCATGCCTTGGCAGCAAACAGATAGATAGATCAATGAAACATGATGAGGAGCATCTTACAATGCTGCGCCTTCTGCCATCACCTCTATGGGACTGATACTGATATGAGGGCACGCAGTATCTATTGCCAAGTGACTTCTTGTCCACGTTATTGTCCGCATGTCGGGTACTAGAAGTATATACTAGAAATTCAATCCGTACCCATTATATACACATGCAAGTACTTTCAAGTCGTGATATTTAGCCAGCATGTAACATGCCCGGTCACCTAGTTTAGTTTCTGCATGCCTGGGCACCACCATACGCAGCGGCGATCCCCGAGTTTGAGGTTACGAACAGGCCTGTAAGAGGTCACCAACAGGGAGCTCCAAAAGGTCACTTTAAACAAGATGGTTGTTGGTCCCACAAGTCGTACACTCCCTGAAACTCAGATGGTTATAACCCTGACGATCCATGACCACACATAGGTCACAAATAGAAATGATCTCAGGATATGCATACGTTTCTATTGATCGTGTTATTTGAAGACGTTGTCGAATCACAGATTGGGGTACCTGAAAGGTATATACAATTCCAGTATCATTGTCGGAGGATAAGACCATGAAATCCCAAAAACCAAGCATTTTTTGTCCCTTTAAAAATGAGGTCATTGTCGGACTCCAGCGTGACAACCCGTGACGAATTTGAATTTGGGATCGTTGGTTTTGTGGTTTTTGGGTTGAGTGGTTTTGTGGTTTTTGGGGTCGGACCTCACAGGGTGAGGTCGGAGAGCCCCAGAAGACACAACCCTAAATGTTAGCATATAAAGCTAACTTTCGATCCTCAGGGTAATATGCTTTTTCATGGCATGACCAGTTCGGAAGACGATGCAATTGGAACAAACCAATCAGTTCTTGTTGTTCTCCATGGGTTTCCACGTGACCATGGTGAGTTCCAGCTCCGTGGTCCACGGCGCCCGCGTCACCGAGTCTCGAAGGCTGAGATGGCTCCAGAAGTGTTGCTTCCTCGGCGTGAGCTGCAGCTTTGCGGCTGGGCTTAAGTAGGGTCACTGGATCGCGTTCCGGATGGAACTGACGGAAGTTGATGGCTCAAGAGCTGTGTTCTTTTTCCTTTGCGGGGTTGAAGCCAGGTTTGGCCATGAATTCCCGGCAGGTTCATTTTTTGGTGAGTTTCCATGATGGTTGAGAGGACGCTGCTGCAGGGTTGCCCCGAATAGATCACGGATCCAGGTGGAAAGAACCCACTGGGTTTTGAGAACACGGGCCACGTGGAAGAGGATATGTGGGAGAGAATGTCGGGCAATACTGTATATAAAATAATGTGATTGCAAAGTGCGAGTGGTATGAGCCTTTGCCAATGATTTACAATGTTTTGCCTCTTGCTGGCCAAGTGGGCATCCCACAACAGTTCCTGAGTTTTGGCCTTGTTCATGGTCCTTCAATTCGACTGAGGCCCTGTGAGAGAAGGAAGGGCATCAAGAAGAAGAGCTCCACGTCCAGCATCTGGGATTCGTAGCCCAGTGGTCCGGAGTCTAGGATGGCTTGGATGGTGCCTCACCCAGTCAGAGAGTCTGTTTTCATGGTGCCGACTCTTGGAATCACCAGGGGCCACTATCCCAAAGTATCAAGATTGCCGGAAGTTCTGGCTGTGGCCTATACTCAAAGTGTTGGCCTTTCACGGAGTTTTCCTTTTCACAGTGTCAATGATCTCCCAAAAAAGCTTTGGCTTTTGTCTCCGTCTCCACAAAGAAAAATGCGATTGAGTGAGGTGTTTGTAACATGGTTTTAACATGGCGTTGGCCTGAAAAAGCGCCAGATTTAGGGAACGGTACTCTCCTTGAAACAGTCATGGAAGTGGAAAAACAAAATTGTTTGGTATTCGGAAAATGGGTTTCATGGTCATCCAAACTCGGGGCCATGCCATCCACTTCCATTCAAGGAGGTTAAAACCACACTAGAAGTGAAGGAGCTTCCTCATTCAAGGATAAATCTGCCATCCTCCTTGAGCTTCCTCCAAGCTTCTGAAGGAGGATAAATCTGAAGCTCAAGCAGATTGAGGTGTTGGCCTTCTCTTTTCGCCACCCACCGCCTGCACCTGTGGTGCTGGACGCCGATGGCGCTGTCCGGCGTGGACTGAGTGCCCGGCGTGGGGACGTGGGGCATGTGGAACCATGGAGGAGGAGGCTGGTTGAGCAGACAATGGGCCAAAACATGGTTGCTTCTGATGCATACCATACTCGGAGTTTCTTCTTTAAAGCGGTTTTACATTTTTTCCATCTATCTAGTAACAGGAAACTACTAGGGGGTCCTGGGACGCTACTAGGGGCTCCTGGCATCGCTACTAGGAGCATTCGTACTACTAGCAACAAGAAGGTTCACATTTCCCGGCCCCAGTTGCGGTTTGCAGAGCTGCAACGCCTGGGCGCCATGGTTGGGGGAACTCAGCACCCCTCGGTCAGTGTAACTTGCGGGTGGCGTGGCGGGCACAGGGGTGCCTCATTGGGGGCGTTTGGGACTATTCAGATGATAGGAGATCGGAGATGGGTGTCACAGTCGCGACTTGGTCACTTGTTTGAAGCTTCAGGTCCGCAAACCAGCTGGTGCACCGACTTTGGTGATACTGTACTCATCTTCCAGACTGAAGTTGGGTTCTTCTTCCTGTAGTTGTGAACCTGTGATTTCATCCGCCAATGTGGACCCATTGTTGAGGGGCTTCAACTTGGATTTCGCCTCTCCACCATCGTGGGGCTTGGGTTAATCCTCTTGCACTGCAGGTCACCCTGACACGTCCAGCCCTTGCAAGACTAAGGCCACCGTATGTCGGATGCGAAGGGAAGGCCTATCACTTCCTCCGCCGGAACCTCAGAGTTTCACACAGAGTCTCGGGCCAGATGCTACCTGCTACCTGCACAAACTCATCACAACATATCACAACTCTATGTCTATACAGTTGGTCCCTAGCCTCCGGCGTCCATGCCGGCGATCGAACACCCAGAAAGAAACGGCATGACTGGCCCGGAGGCACGGGGCGGTCGGACCGTGAGCCGTGAGGTGCCGGTTTTTTTCTGGATGATTCTGACGAGGAGGCCCGAGATTCTGCGGAGCGAGCTGCTCGCTACCTTTTTTGCGGATGGAGCGCACCCATTGAAAAAGGTGAAGCCTGACTGTAGAGGGCTAATATCACTTCCATCTTCTTACTTGCCAGGTGCGAAGGTCAAGAGTCATGTCGGCCCTTCTGTTTGGGCTGACGCTTCTTCGCAAACCCGGCAGGCGGAGCCTGGCAGGCCCAAGTTGGTCTCGCGCGAATCGACCTGGGAGAGTATGGGCTGCTTGGACCTGGACCTGGGCTGCTCTGAGTGCCATGAAGATTGGACATTCGCACGGTTCAGTGCGACGGCCTCGCCTCGCCTCAATTGACCAGAAAAGCACATGTTGATGGAGCTTCGCTTCGATCAAGTCACCAAAAAAACTCGTCCGGAGGAGAAGAAAACACCGAAACACCAGTCACGAACCATTGACCGACTGAGGCTACAGCGGTCTTCTGGGGAATGAGTCGAGGCAAGCTTCCAAGTCCGAGCGTGGCAGCATTGCAGCTCGGACGCGGGGGATCATGGTGCGGGGAGTTTGCAGGTGGGTGAGCTACGAGCATGCACCCCCAAGTGGATAGTTTAGTGGAGGTTACAAGTTGGAACCATCAGCATAGAGATTTTCTAATCATGAGGCTTTGGCAGTAGCCCAACATTCTTGGAGGACCTTCTTCGTTTGTATGCCGGAAACGTGCTTCCAGAACCGGGCTCACCTGGAAACCAATCCGAGCGTGCATTGCATCTTGCCTTCCCTGCCCAAAAAAGGTGGTAGACTCCAGTTGTGGCAGAGGAAGGGTTGTCCTGCAAGTGCCTTCTGACATTCAATGAATGTTGTTTATGGCGGGAAGGAATGTATATTGTACATAATTACCGTAGTAATTACTGCAATTTACATGATTCGGGGTAGGTCAATGGAGCTAACTATCAATGATCATGAGCAAATGCATCAAAGTTTAGCCTCTAATCAACGAGGAGGACTTGGGATGTGGTGTTTTCGGAGGGGGGGCAAGTGTTAGAAGGGACCAGCATAGATTCATTTGCAGTAGGTTTAACACCGCCGATGACTCGATTCTGATCGCCTTACTGTAATTGAAACTCCGAGTGTCCTTAATTGAACCTTCGAGTGGTCGGTTGAACCGACGCCGGTGCTGAGGAGGATCACGCGGAGGGTGTGGCCAGGTTAGCCTTTTCCTCGATGCGGAACCACCAGGAGAGCGATCCGAGTTGGGGGAGGGAAACTCTCGGGGTGACCAGATCATGTTCAAGGCCTTGCGGCAAAACATGGTGAACACCTCCCTGGACCCCCATGAATCAAACTACCAGGATAGTCCCCCGGGGGGTGGGACCCATAGCCAGATGTCGTGATGTTCTGTTTTCTCATGGCATTGAGCAATTCCACTCAGCCTTTTAGATTTGCCAGCAACTTGAGAGGATGCCTGATGGGCTTTCCTGGGGTCCTCCCATCAACTAAGGGAGAATCCAGGAAGGCGACGACACACAGGTCATGGTCACTTGAGCATCCTTGCTCCTAGTAACTAGTAGCACGGCCAGGAGCCCCTAGTATCCTGGTCCTAGTAGCGTCCTTGCTCCCAGTAGTACCCTTTGAAACTTTGTCTTAGTATTTGTATGATGATGGGAGGCCAACTTCGTGGCATGTCGGCACGCTCTCTCTGCAACACGGGTGCAGGAGGAGGAGAGCAGCTTTGGATCAAAGGACTCAACGTGGCAGGGGTGCACTGGGCAAGGGGTCCAAGGAGGAAATTCACTTCTCCAATGTATCCCTACCCAGTCACTGGAATAACCTTTGTAACTAGAGCACGGCCGGGGTTTCTGCCATCTACTTACCGTAATCTACTTCCATGATGGTTTCAGGGAGTGCAAGACTCCCTTTAATGACCGCTCCCTACACAATTGTCGTCTCACGGTCTTACATGGCCATGGCGGCTGTGAAAGAGGTGCCATCTTAATCCATTTTAGAGGTGGAGTCTGTTCGCTTGAGCGAGCGGCACCAGTCTGCACAGGAGGGCCAGTGCAAAAGGATGCCGAACGCTGGCACCCGCCCATTCCAGGACCCGCCCTTGTGCCACCTGGAGGAGGAACCGCATGTCGCTGCTTGGCTGCATTTGGCAGTGCACCAGCTGCTTGGGGCGTTGGGACTTGGAAAAGCTTGGCATGATTTGAATATGCCTCAAGGGCCCCCAGGGAGAGTCATACTCGGGCGTTGTACATGCCGCGGGTGGCCATGTACAGGCCATGCAAAGGCGCACCAATGGTGGTAAACATGTTCAACTACTCTGTACTAGACCCCCTGTACCCTTTGACGCCGCGGCACCAGTGGAATCTTCGCTCAGGCCCGTCGTATCTCCTCGGATGAGCATACCAAGTGGAGGCCAGAAAGCTTTGATCTGAACGCGTTCGGCGTTCGGCGTTCGGGTTCAGAAACCGGCAAGTCTGGGTCGAGTCCCGCGACCAAGGGGTGCTGTTACAAGCGCCATAAAGCACCGCTGAGGTGCACTGAGTAGCTTCGGGCCACTGAGTAGCTTCGGATCCATGTCCGGTCTTGGAACCCCTGGCGCCCCACGCAAATTGGAGTTGGTTGAGTGGGTCGTTCGCCGTTCGTCGCCCTCTTCGTTCAAAGCAGACTGGGATGTTTGCGGCCAGAGGTCGAGCTTCAACCGATTTCGACATGATGGAGAGATGCTCGGACTCACCGAACACACGAGCCGGGCCGCCCGATACGTGGCCACCGGATGTCGGTCTACTCCGTTGGACTTCTCCACCGTGAGGACGGACCTGGGACGGGCTGGATGACCGACCTCCAAATGGGCTGGAGGGCCGTTGAGCTATGGTCGTTTTTTTTTGGAAACACCCGGGGTTAGTGGGTTTCCTGGTTTCCTTCGGTCTCATTGGGAGCCAGGCACTGCAGGCTCACCATGACTCTTAGACTTTAGCAACGATCTGCGCAATTATATATTATATAACATAGTGATTTAGATTGATTTGGTCTGATTTCATGGGGGACCAGGGGCCGCTTCTGGGTTTGCTTTGGGCTCAATATAATCTCCCAGAATTACCGCGTGGTTAATTCTGGGTGCTGGAGGAACACCGGCGTCTGTCAGGCGTCCATTTTCGTCCATGGGATCCTCTTCAGGGTTAGGCCGTTGAAGGAGCTTCCCACCTTTCCAATGCCTGACGTCGAGCATCGCGCGATGGAACGCGAGTCTCCGATGCGTGTCAACGCCAGGATGGTATTGACGTGTTCGTTTCTAAGGTGTGACTCACGCATCTGGCAGAAACAGTAGAAACATGTAGAAACTAGATCTCTATAGGCTCCAGATCTTCTTCTATCTTCATACTGTTGGGTGGCTACTGGATTTCCAATCGACCCGAACCACACGACCCGATACTGTTGGTTGGTCGTTTTTTCTGCCGTTTCCCCCGCTTTGGCGGGCCCAGGATCCACCGGGACGATTTGGACAAAGCTTTGGCGCATTGTGGTGTCTTGGCATCCGACGCACAGGAAGAGAAGATGCGAAATGACCATGATGATCATGATGGAAGGTGGGGGTCACTGATTTTCTCACAGCCGCCTGGAATTCGCAGAAGTTGAGGTTCTTGAATGAAAACATGTGCAAAGCCATGCAAAGCCACAAGCATGGCCAGGTTTCGGAAGGGATGGGCCTTCAAAACCCAAGAACATCAATGAACCGATGTGCCACATGAGGGTGGAAGAATCCGTGGTGAAATCACGGCCCCAAGGCGGTCAAAACATATGCCACACGTGCATCAGTTTTGGCTAGCAGCTAGCAGTAGCTAGCAGTAGCCAGGGGGCCCAGGATCCATCCCCAGCCGCTTCTCCTTTTGCGCCTAGTGCATCAGTTTTTATTTTGGAGGCTTTCCTGAGCTTGATCTTCCCGGCTGTCCCACAGCTGGGCCCCGGGCCGCTCCAGTCCAGTGATGGCAGGTGTTTGGGCCCCGGATCCTAGAGGGCAGCCATGCCTGAAGGGGAGAGACGAGTCTCAGACTGGGCCCTTCATTCATGGCGTCAAAGCGATCAGTTGGGTCTGTCCACCTGTGACAGTCGTTGAACGATCACTATATTGCGGAACAAGGTCTTTACTGAGCCTTTTACTACTAGGCATCATCCAATGTATATAACTGGTAATGGGATCGGGATGGACCCAAGCCATCAGAATGGTGGAGAAGGAAGGAGGGTTAAAGAACTGGCTGGACAGACACCAAGAAAGCCACTGAATCCAAGACAATCCAAGCACTCAAGACTCATGAACATCGATGCCATGGATTCTGAAATGGGCCCGGCTTTCGATGGTCCAACGCGATGGAGTCGCCGATTGGATGATAAGTCTGCAAATCTAACAGATTAGACACTGGCAGAACAGCCCTGGTAAGAATCACTTTCCACACCCTGAATCTGCCAGTGTTCACCTTCGATCTGCCGGCAGTTCATCTGCCGAGCTGAGTCGGAAGGTGGGTGCTTCGCCCTGAGGCTTTGATGATCGCCGGGGCACGTTGATCATGGAAGCGTTGGAGTCGGTCACGCTTTATGCCGCCCTGAGCCGATGCTTGGTTGATGGGAGGGACCGGCAGGCTCCAGCCGCACAGGCAAATGGAAGACCTGATGGGTACCTTGAGAACTGTGATGGGCACGCTTGGGAAACCATCTGCGACCATCGCGCAAACTTCTACTCCCCTGCAGATTAACATGGAACCTCAAAACGACTAAGGGTTGTTCTTCAGAAAATGGATGAACATGGTCATCCACAATTCTCAGGTTCCATGTGACTTTGCGGGGGGCCGGTTCTTTCGCCTACTCCAGAAGTCACCCAGTCAGGACCTCACCGTAACTTCTAACTCCCCACGCCGATCAATGGCCTTATATGGCCTTCCTCGACCATCCGGGTCTGGCGAGCGGCTCTGGTCCAAGAGAACAGAGATGTCTTTGGTTGGAATCAGCTGGGTCCACAGATGAGTTGCCGGGCGTTTGTGGCCGGCTTGGTGCCCTGATGGTTCCTCGAACGGTTCTCTCGAAGGTCGGATGTGACTTTCTACAAACCTCTCGAGTTGCTCACTGCGTCAACATGAATCCGATTGATTCGGTGCTCCGATGTGCCTGCCTCCTCGGCTGGGCTCGACGGCCGCGAGACGCTCCGCGCGGGACGTCCTGGAAGCGCAGCCGATGACGGTGACCAAGACGCTCTCGGTGGTCTCGACGACGTCAAAGGTGTCTTCGGCCATCGAAGAGGAGAAGCTTGGGCTGAGGTGATGAAGGGTGTCCCGTGATTTCGGAGTCTAAACATCTGACTAAGAAAGGGGTGGCAGCAGAAACAGCAACTCCTTTTTGATAATTTTTTTGAGTTGGGGGTTTTGGGTGGAAGCCGTTGTTGCAGGGTTCTTAGCAGTCAACCCTTTCCATATGCAACCCTGCCCTCTCGAACGAAGTGGAGAAACAAAATCATGCCTTTGACCCTCCAGCTTATGCGGTGGAACGAGGTTCAGTGACCAGACAGGGGTGAACCTCATTTGAACTTGCTGATTTTGGACGCTACGGGGAAAATCCAGTGCTCCATGCCAATTCACCCAGATGGGCAACATCATCCTTTTTCAGCCAAACCTGGTTCATCACTCTCAGGTACACAGTTGTCAAAAAGCTGGGCTCTGGGAAGTTTGGGCAAGTGCTTTGGCCAACTCATGAGTTGCTTCCTGCGCTGTGCGGCAGGGAGAGCTGGTTAGCAGGCTTGGGGCCCACCCCGAAAGATTTGTTTGGAGAGGGTGCTACTTTAATTGAGGTTTTGTGAGGACCTGTGCTGGGACCCCTGGCTTTCCACCTCCAGTCCAGCAGACATCTCCTTGCACCAGTGAGATGCCTGACACCCCAGATGCACAATAGCGACACAACGGCAGCAAATGTGGGGAAGCCTTTCGGTGCCTAGTCGTGTTGTGGGATGCAATGTGGACCATCAGAGGGGGATGGATTCACACTCTGACATTGTTTTGCTGTTACTCTATTCCCAGGTCGAAACATGTGAGGGAACGGAAATTTGAACAATTCACGAAAGGTAGCTTGAGCTACCTGAGTTCTCCTTGCTTTAGCAAAAATGTATTACAATCAGGAGTTGGGATTGTGCATTGAATTTGGTCCTGTAAGAGTTGATTCTGTTCGTCGGGGGGGGGCCCCCCCCCCGGATCAAATCCCCCCTGCGCCGGTTCACGCCGTCGTGGACTTCTACCAGGGTTACTTGTGATTGCCTGCTACCTTTCGTTCACCCCCTCCTCTCTCAAGTGTTTGGTGCAAGTCTGCAGCTCCTATGCATTAGCCGCTTTACTGAATGCCTAGCAGACCCGGCAGACCGCCTATGCATTAGCCGCTTTACTGAATACCTAGCAGACCGCCTATGCATCAGCCGCTTTACTGAATACCTAGCAGACCTAGCAGACACGGAACGGCGGTTTAAACAGTTACTAAAAATGCAGGTACGTTTACACGGGTGGCCCCCTGCTTCTTTTTCTTTTTCTGCATCCCTGTCCCTGCCTCTTTGTTCTTAATTAGTAGCGAGGCCAGAAACCATTAGTAGCATCCTTTCTTCAAGTAAAAACCTGCTGCATGCATACTTACCGGGCACGAACCTTGGAAACAGGTGTTGACACACACACATTATGCCGCAGTCGGCGCTCTGCACCCCCTGCGTTAAACAATTTTGTTCAGCAGCTTTGTACACACAATGCCGATAGCGGCGTGCCGGAAGATTACTAGTCACCTAAAAAGCCTTAGAAAGACAGACAAAGAAAAACAGAAAGAGAGAACGAAGAGGGCAAGAGAGAAAGATAGGAGTAGTTACGAGGCCGACTAGTTACGAAGCCTGTTAGTTACAATACATGCAGTAGCTAGCGAGTGGGACTTTTGTCTTATACCACCCGGGTAGCTAGAAGTAGGACAGGAGAAATAGAAGGAAAGGCACCAACAGTGCGATTTCCTTCTATAACCCTAAATAGCGGGTGGGATAGCAACAGAGGCCAGGGGCAGGGAGGGGAGCCCGAAGGCATTGCCATCACTGACATTCAAGTAAAGCCGATTTGGGGCCGGCGCACCCTTGTCGGAAAGGCACCTGGAACCTACAGAAAGGCCTCAAGAAACGAAAAGCAACAGAAAGACAGAAAGAACCCAAGAGCATGACAAGCGCATGCAACAGGAAAAGCTACCTAGCTGCTAGCCTGGTGACCCTGCGGCATGTACCTCAAACACCGCATGGGTGAAAGTCATGGAAGTTGGACAATAGCTTCACTGGTCCCAAAAATGGTCTTAAAATTGAACTTGAAACTGAACTCTGGCAGCGAAAGGAAAGTGACAAAATGCAAAAGGCAACATCACTCAAATGAAAGTATTGGTGGAGAAGTCGTGGGCCCGACGGCATTGGGTTTCGGGAATCCAGAGGTGAAACAAATTTGGTTAAGAGAATCCAAGGAATGCAGAACGCGGTGAAATCCGTTAGTGGCACTCCAGCATGAAACGGCGCTCCCTTGCGGGAGGTCACACCCAGCACCCAAGTGGTACGACTGAGCGGTTCACACTCTGACATTGGTTTGCTGTTACTCTATTCCGAGGTCGAAAAAAGGTGAGGGAACGGAAAGGTGGAAGGTCAGAAGACTTGAAGGTGTTTGAACAACTGTTTGGTGCAAGTCTGCAGCTCCTATGCATTAGCCGCTTTGCTGAATGCCTAGCAGACCGCCTATGCATTGGCCGCTTTACTGAATACCTAGCAGACCGCCTATGCATTAGCCGCTTTACTGAATACCTAGCAGACACGGAACGGCGGTATAAGCAGTTATTAAAAATGCAGGTACGTTTACACGGGTCCCAGAGGAGGTCTTCGTTGGCCACCGCTCCTCTGGGACCCCGGTGGCCCCCTGCTTCTTTTTCTTTTTCTTTTTCTGCATCCCTGTCCCTGCCTCTTTGTTCTTAATTAGTAGCGATGCCCTTGGTTCTAGCGGCTTCTTGTTCCCAGTAGCGAGGCCAGAAACCATAAGTAGCATCCTTTCTTCAAGTAAAAACCTGCTGCATGCATACTTACCGGGCACGAACCTTGGAAACAGGTGTTGACACACACACACACATATATATATATACACTTGTACACAATAATGCCATGGTGTTTACATGAAACAAGTTATAGTAGAATCAGTAGAAGTACTTACAGCCGCTTTGGAGTAGATGGCACAACCCCCTAATAACCCCTAATACGTGTTTTGAATGGGAGTCCACAACCCGGCCTGAAATCATCCGTTCGCCGTGATGATCGAAGTAGGAAGACATCTCAACAAGGTTTGAGATTGGGTATTGGAGGCCACAATAAAGGTGATGACCTGATGACGAATGATGCTGGGATTCTGTGTGAACCATGGAACTTTGAACCACGAGAACCATGAGAGCTCGCATCTGAGAAGGACAAAACTGTAAACAATATACATCAATATATATATATATTATATATACCCATTCTGTTTCCTGGAGGCAGATTGGCTTGATTAATAGGGCGAGGTTTCTGCGAAGAACCATTCTTAGGGAGATGCCAATGTCAAACAGTACCCCAACGACCGGCCCTGGCTTCGGAGTCCGCATTTCCTGCGGGGCGGCGAGGTGCAGGAAATTAAGCAAAAGACCGGCGCCAAGAAGCGGTTCGCCTGGAAGCAAACGTCCTCCGACACTTGGTATGTGTAAATAGGAGGAGGGTTGACGGTTGGCGAAGAGATGCGCCGAAGAGTTGAGGGCGATCGTGTCCCTTTCAAGAGCAGCTGTGGGATGTTGTGGTGCTTGGACTTCCTGGGGGGCAGGATCAAGCAGGGCTCAAGCGACTTGGGTCATGGGGCTCACAGCAACCTGAAGAATTACACTTGGCCATGCTTCATCCACCCCTCAGGGTTGCTGTAGGCTTGGTGTGGATTATGAGGAAAGCAATGCTCAAGGGGACTTTTGCAATTTTTTAAAACTATGTCACTGTCTATGTCACTACGTGATTCTCACACACACTAACATGGACGTGGATGGGACGTCCCCTCAATTTCAAGAGGACTTCGTCGTGCTTCTTGGGGCCATGCAAGGCCATGCCATCTGCTTAAAGTGGGTGAGTCTAGCGTGTATTGTTTTGGTTTTGCGCCACTCGCCTCGTGACAGGCTTGTGATCCACACCCTTTACTTTCGGGATTTCAGAAGGTCTGGGTGATGTCTTCCTTGCCACGCCAAGGAGAAGGATCCTTATTGTGACCTGAGATGCTTCCAGTTGGAGTCGTTTTGCTTTTGTTTTTTTTGCTCAACCTTCCTCTTAGGACCTCTACTGAACCTCACGAAGTCCTCACAAACATGGCATCACATCGCACGATTCAGCTCCGAGCGGCCGTCGCCAGGTGAACAAGAGGCCCTATTGCTCAAGGAGTTGCAGCACGAAGGCATTGTGCAGCTCATGGAGGCTTATTCCGAGGGTGGGGTGGTGGACATGGCCACTTGGTAGCAAGAAGCTAGTAGGTTGGAGGCCATTGCTACTAGTAGAAAGAAGCTACTTGTGCACCGAGGCTTATAGTATTGCACCTGACATGGGAAAGACGGTTCGGAGCGCCTCGACCGCCAATCCAAGGTCATGGAGCTTTGCAAGGGAAACTTGCAGGAGTTCATTGCTGACAATGTCGCAAGGCTTCCGAACTACCACAGGTGTGGACCGTCGAAAAAGGACGGTCCTAGTAGCAGCGGATGAGGTGCACTGTTCGCTGCACTGTTCGCTAGACTGTTTGCTGTAACGGTCTTTTTTTATCCTTCACTTTGCAACGTGATTCACTCCATCTCACTCCGGCCGAACATAGTATTATACTTACTGTAAGTAGCATATAGACCCCCAAATAGATAGACAAGTAGATCCCCACCAATTAAACATGTCTTGGACATCGTTTGTAATAATTAAGACTCAAGACTTGTAGATGTAAAAGAATCTGTGCCGACCGGGACGTTCGCTCCGTCCACCCGACGCTCCTTGCTTTGGGACGAGCCGGTGAAGCCTTGAGAAACATGAGCCCAGCGCCGCGCTGCAGGGTCTACATCCCGCCCGAAGCCACAACGATTGCGATGGTCATGCAGAAGCTCTTGGAAACTGTGCCCCAGGGCATGTTCAGCCTTTTGAGCTTTTAACAAACCTGGCTTCCCAGATTCTTTTTGACTCCTTAAGGTCCTTAGTCGTATTAGTTTGCAATGCTTAAGCCCCTTCTTGTTTGGAGTACTTTTCTGCCGATCCAAGTGACGGCGGTTAGGGTGAAGCAGGAGGATGCCTTTGACATTTTTTGGCATACGGCGTGGGCTACGGCATACTCGGTCATTGACGCCAGTGAAGTGCCAACAACGTGGGCATATGGCATACGTCGTCCTTTGGAACTGTCATGTTTTATATGTTGGATTATGTTTGTGTCAGTGCCGCACCTGACATCCCATATGAATGGTCTTCAGATGGACCACGGTGAAAATGGGTCGGGCAAAATTCTTCCAGCGCTAGCTATGCAAATGCCCAAGATGTTGGGTTATCACTCGCACCAACCACCATGCCAGGTCCTGTTCCTTCACGAAAAGCGCGTTGCACATCGGGACATCAAGCCTGAGAACGTGCTGAAGTCCTCAAGCGGCTGCTCGGACGGCGCTGTGCAAGCAGACCCGGAGACGAGGGCTTGGGTTGTTTCCCATGGTGGTGTGGGACATTGCGCAAGTGGATTCGGTTTGAATCGGTGTCCTCAAAATCAATTTTAGCTTCCTCATGTTCTTGGAAGACTTGGGGCAGATAGCTAGACCCTGGAGAAAGAGAGAGAGAGAGAGACATTTGAAGGTGATGAGGGGGAGGGAGAGAGAGAAAGAGAGAGAGAGAGATTTATTTGTGTGTGTATTCTGGCAAAAGGTTTCGCAATTTTAATGAGCTCTTTTAGCTTTGATTGGGATGGATATGCCTGAGGGACCATGGTTGTAGCTTCAGGGAGTGTTTCCACCGCCTTTATATATATATATATAGAGTACTTTCAGGGCCTGGACGAATAGATCAGACAATATAGGATATTTTGTGGCAGTGATGCCACACTCTCATCGGGATTTTTGCATACAACTATTATATATGTATAGTGGGCTGGATATTTATCCAACCCTCCAACATATTTTTTCAACCCAAACCTTTTTTTTCCAACCCTCCGAGACGCTTTTTAAGCCTGGGTTGGATGTAGACGCCTTTGTTGGAACCTCGAATGAGTCGGCCGCCCCATTCTGCTACTGCTGCTGCTGCTTCTCCACCCTCTTCCTTTTGCTTTGGCTTTGCTGGTTTGCTGCTTCCAACCTGCACCTTTCATCCACCTCCGTCGCGTCAACTATTGTCAACGTTTGGACGGTTGCTGCTAGTTGCTGCTATTGCTGCAATGCTGCTCGTTGCCGCAGGTTGCTGCCGCTGCTGGTGTTGCTGCTGCTGCTGCTGCTGCTTCCACTACTGCCACTGC